CAACGATAAGCAATTCTAGTTTTTGTTCTGAATTATGAACTTTGAAATACTTGAAGACATCTAAAATGTCTCCCCTTCATGTTCTCACCTTCCGAATGAAATCCCAAATGCCTCCAGCTGTTCCACACTTGTTTCTTCATCTAGACTTCCTACTGGACCATTTCTGGATACATTGCAATTAGGAAACATATGTTCTCCGGGGCAAAGTGGAATTAAGTCTCATTTTTAATTATGGATTTAATTGTACTTGTGCCATAAAGTTACTAAATGATCCACTTTTGTAAGTCAACTATGCATGTAATTATATTCTACATCATTTCTAATATGATTATTTGTTAATAATTGAAAAATGCAAAAGCAGATTACTTTGATGAACTTCTCTCTTTGCTAGAAGTCTGTGTCTAAAAAGAATATCTCATAACTGACAATGCCAGCTTACTACTGAAACTATTTTTATGAAAACATTAAAAAGATGAATGAGGGCTATCAATTTGCAAATACAGAATACTTTTGATCTTAAAATTTGTAAAACATATACTTAATAGATATCTTGAAAGTAAAGCATTCCATTTCTAATATATTATTATTAATGAAAATAATCTAAGACAAACTAGTGAAAAGAAATTATATTTTATAGGAATGAAATTATATTAATTCTTTCATTGAACACTCTGCAATGGTATAAACTAAATTGAAGAGAATGTATCCATCCTCAGACTTCATAGGAAGAGCTAGCAAATTGGTTGATGTTTTTTTCATTCTCATAATTAAGACCAGTTAAAATCAAATCATCAGTATTAATCACTAAACCAGGCAGAAATTATTATACTATAGTGTTGTAACCCAATCATTTTCCATATTGACTTGCTACTGCTAAAAACCTACAAATGAGTGGTTGGGCGGTTGCCCGGCAGTAAAACATGACCTACTGCAAGGGTGACCACTTGGGAAGGTTCCAGATTAGTTAGCAGAGACCTCTCTCAGTATGTCAAGCATGTATGAACCCATGATCTGGGGCTAACCAAGGCTGCGGTGGATTGGGGTGTCAAAACCCTGTGGAGGTGCTCTCTCTTTGTCACTGTCTCTCCCTTTCTGTTTCTCTCACTCATAAAGAAATAAAAGCAAAACAATAAATGGATAAAGTTCAACTAGGAAAGTTAATGGGTTTCAATTCACATGACTACGCTTACATCTATACTATAATCATCTGTTCTTTAAATGTCTAATAGTGAGTCATAATGTATTCTAATATCTACAGTTATGTTTGTATTTAACATCATCTCAGAAATACTGGGTTGTTGGAAAAGTCATGACACATTTTAGCATAGAAAAAAATACATCATAGGGACCAGCAGTGGCGTAATGGCTATGTCGTTGGACTCCCTGTAGTTGACTGAGGTTCAAGTCCCAGACCCAGTGGCTTAAACTCACGCCGGGTGCATATGCGTGCATGCCCGAGATCCCTAGAGGAGAATGGAGGAGAAAGGATTGCGGCATGGCCATCCCCCCGGGGGGTGATTTCTTGCTTTCTGTCTCTCTGTCTCTCTCTTGTCTTTCTGGTGAGCACAACCATCCTAGAGTAAAAATCTCTCCAAAGAAAAAGAAAAAGAAAACATACGTCATGACTTTCCTGACAACCCAATATTAAATACTATCTTCTGTTTTATAGAATGAACAGGATTGTTGGATTTGTTAGCTGACTACCCCATCTATAGACATTAGCCAATAGTAAGCTTTCATCCAGAACAAATGATGATGTAGTATAATCACTGAAAAACCTAAAAGAATAGGCCTAACAATCTTTTCTTTTCAATAAACTGTATCTTGTGTATTCCTTTTTTACTCAAAGCCAAATGTGACCAAACCTAGTATCTTTAAAATAATAAAATGTAAACACAATGTTGCTTAGTAGGGTGAGGCATGGCAGTAAGTATGTTGATTTTTTTTTTTTTTTTTTTTTTTTTGCTATAGGGTGCATGTGCTTGCCAGAGAGACAGGGACAGAGAGACAGAAAGTGAGAAATCACCCACAGGGGGAATGGCCACACTGCAATCCCTTCTCCTCCAGTCTCCTCTTAGGATTTTGGGCATGCATGTACACATACCCAGCATGAGTTTTAAGCCTCTGGGTCCAAGACTTGAATTGCATTTGACTATGTGGGAGTCCAGTGACATAACCACTATGCCATCTGCTAGTATCTTGATTATCTTTTAAAATAAATAAATTGATATTCGTTTGTTTCAATAATTCTTGTGATAGATTTAACTGTGTCCTCCTGAAATCATGTCCAAGTCCTAACCCCAGTATCTCATGTGATCTGGAAACAAGGCCACTGCAGATGTAATTGAGATGAGGTCATATCAAATCATCCAATACTATGGGTGTTCTTATAAAAAGGAGAAAATTGGAAGAAGGCATACATCAGGGTGATGTGTCTATAAAATGAAGAATGGCAAAGATTGCCAGTAAACCACCGGAAGCTATGGGTGTGGCATGGATCCTTCCTCAGGGCCCTTGGAAGGAACCAACTCTGCTAAGACCTGGATCTTGGTCTTTTAGCCTCTAGAATAGAAGACAATGGATTTCTCTTGCTAACATGGCTCTTTTTGTGGAACACTGTAACACTGTGATCGTATTAGCAAACTACTAGGTTTCAGAAACTTTAAAAAAATATTTGGCACACTTCTTCAGTCATGCCTTTAGAGCCCAAAACTTTATTTGTGAATATCCATAAATGTGGCATATTCACAGCCAAAACTTACTCATTTCTAAGACATAAATACAATGAATTATTTGTGTAGGTAATACACCATTCTTTTAATTAATTATAGCATTCAAACTAATATAGTATAAATTAACCATACTCCTCTACAACCCACTTTGACAGATAATCTAACAGATGTTTAAATGATAATATTTCTAGGGAAAAATTTATAATCATCCTAAGAATAACTTGAAATATATAAAAACGTATGTTTTAGAAATTCCAATGTGCTTCATTATAAATTTTCATTCTTTATGGTCATACTACATATGAATCACATACATATACATACATATATATATATATACACATACATATATACACATACATATATATGTGAATTATAAAGTATTTATTGTTAAGCTAGAGGTTCTCTATTTTTTTCTTTTAATTTGCTTTTAGAGTGTGTGTGCTCTCCAGAGAAAGAGAGTAAGAGAGAGAGGGAGAAGGAGGAAAGCAATCCCTCATTGAGTGTGGTCATGCTGCAATCCCTTCTCCTCCATTTCTCCATTTCTCCATCCCGCTGGTATTAAGATAGGCATGCACATGAACCTGGCATGTTTTTTGCACTGCGAGTACCAGGATTTGAACCACATAGTCAACCATGTGCAATCCAGCTCCCTTAACTACTGGGCTATGGGTCTGGCGCAAACAAGAGGTTTTCAACTCTATCTTGTGATACCAAGTATACTTGACTGAAGATGTGTCTAAGGGATGATGCCAGCACCAGCAGGAACAGCCTGCCTACTCTCTGACTTACATTCTGAGTTCCTGTCTAGATCCAAACTGCCGAGTAAAGCTTTCTGTAATGACAGAGATGTCTGGTATCTGCACAATCCACTACAAGAGCCATGGGTCACACGCTCATATTGAGCACTTGAAATCTGCTAGTACTACTAAGGAACTGACATTTTAAATTAATGTTATCCTGACGAAATTGAATCTAACTGGTCGCATGGAATGACTGGACAGTGCCATTCTAAATTTTTATTTGAAAATAAGATTTCACTGCTAACAAAGTTTGAAAATCACCACTAAAAATGAAGGTACGGGGAATCTTCTGCTAAAAAGGAATGGCTGGTGATTCTGATAAATTCTCCCAGAATGTCTCGGTATGTGATGATTGATTTTAATTCCAATGCATACAAAATTTAATCAGGGAACTACAGCTGACATCACTACTCATTAGCCAGCAGGGGGAACTGCAGAGTTAAACTACAGCATTTTCTCCAGAGATTTTTGTTGTTGTTCTCCCCCAGAGTCTGTGTGAGTCTGTGTGGAGGCCCTGAAATACGTGCTCTGTGCAAGAACTACAAACCCTGCGCTTCCTGACTACCCAGAGTTAGCCACGTGCTCTGCATGTCCGTTTTCACAGAATTCCTGGGAGGTGGAAATAGAACTTGCTTCTAGACAATACGATTTAGGCAATTTATAATCAAGATCTAATTAATTATAAAATCTGATCTTTCCCAATTTTTCTGTTTTTTAAGAGTTTTTGGTTTGTGGGGGTTTTTTTTGTCCTTGTTGTTGTTGTTTTGCTATAGGGATGTGTATGCATGCTGGAAAGACAAAAAGACAGAGACAGAAAGTGAGAATTCACCCCCCTAGACAGGATGGTCACACCACAATCCCTTCTCCTAATTTCTCCTCTCAAGATTTTGGGCACATATGCACAAGTGCCCAACATGAGGTTCAAGTCACCAGGACTGGGACTTGAACCGCAGTAAACTATGTGGTAGTCCAGCGATATGACAATAGGCCATCTGCTGGTCTCAGTGTTTAGACTTTTAAATTAACATTTACCTTTATCCTTTTTCTTCAATTATCAAAGAAACATTTGAGGCCTTTTATATTTAGGCAGAAAAGGAAAACTTCTTTATTTAAAAGTTGTAATAGGGCCAGCAGGTGGCATGGTGGTTAAGATGCTGGACTCCCACACAGTTGACTGTAATTCAAGTCTCAGACTTGGCAGCTTGAAAATCATGCTGACTGCGTGCATGCATGCACCCAAAATCCCAGGAGGAGAATGAAGGAGAAGGACTTGCACCATGGTCACTCCCCTGGGACTTGATTTCTCATTTTCTCCCTCTCTGTCTCTCTCAGGAGTGCTTATATGCCCTATGGCAAAAACCGGAAAAATAAATAAATAAATAGATAGATAGATAGATAGATAAATAAATAAATATCATAATAAAATAAACTTTATCTATGATATATTAACTGAATATGGTCTTACCTCTTGATAAAGGTCACTGAGATCTTCCTGGTGGGCCTGTTTAGAACATCCTGGGAATTCCTTAACACAGCAGGATCTGGGGGCCAGTCCATCTCTGTCATTTCCAGCCAGTCAGTAAAATACACAACTCCACAGCACTTAAACTGCAAAAGAAAAACTGGTCAGGCACCAAAACACAAAAACATATTGATTTTTTAACTTACACAAGGTTAAATGTCAGATTTCTTAAATTTTTGAACTCAGAGCTAAATACACATCTGTCATCACACGATGAGATGTGAACGCTGTATTTTTTTAAGGTTTTAATTTTATTTTTCATTATTATTCTTCTATTTTAACCAGACAAAGACAGACAGACAGAAAGGGAGAGTGAGAAAGCAAGCTGCCAGGTTCGGGACTTGAATCATGGTTGGCGATGTGGGAGTCCAGCACCTACCACCTGACGGGAGTCCAAGTACCAAAACATCTGCAGGCCCCATATAATGTCCATTGATGTGAGAAATGTGATAGAGAAACATCATGGCTGACCACTCCATAACAGTACAATTCTGAACAATAATGTCGACAACACATAAGAAAGAAAATGAACCATGACTGGGTGACACGTCTCACCTAGAACATTCTCTAGAAGAGGCCATGTAGCAACAAAGTTAACTTACATACTATCAAACTCAATAGCTAAAATTTTCTTTATCATTAAACTTCTAGCCACTACAACATAATTAATTGATTCAATTTGTAAATAGCCTAGATACTGGTTTAATTGCTCAAAAAACTCTAATATTGTATTAAGTGTTTCTACGATTTCTGTAAAAAGATTTGCTCAGCAAGCTCTAGTCACAATGGTTACCAGAGCTGGATTCCTAAAATCAGTAAAATTTCCAAAACCAGGACCAGCAGATGTAATGGTTACGTTGCCGGACTCCCATGTAGTGGCCTACAGTTTGAATCCTGGACCCAGCAGCTTGAAACTCATGCCAGGTATTTGTGCATGCATGTCCAAGATCCCAAGAGGAGAATTGGGGATAAGGGATTGTGGCCATGGCCATCCTCCCCAGAGGGAAGGGGGGATTTTTTGCTTTCTGTCTCTCTGGTGAGCACACATGCCCTACAGCAAAAGTCTCTCTAAAGAAAGAAGAAAAAATTTCCAACACCTTTGAGGAATAAACATAGGCTTGCCCAAATAATTTTCACCCAAAGAAAGTGAGATTCTCAAAATAAACTATTATAGCCTATCACTACAGTCTCAGAGGAAATTATGTTCCTTTAGCTAGAATAAAGTTGATTTTTTTTTTTAAAGAGAGGTTTTTGCTATAGGACATATGCACTTGACAGAGAGATGGAGGGAGACAGAGAGGTAGAATGCAAGAAATCACCCTCCAGGTGGGATGGCCATACCACAATCCCTTCTCCTCCATTCTCTTCTTGGGATATTGGGCACTCACACACACGAGCCCCATATGAGCTTTAAGCCAGCACTTGAATCACAGTCGATTACATGGAAATCCAGCAACGTAACCATTACACCATCTGCTGGTCCCAAAGTTGGATTTTAAAAAGACCTATATTATGTTTCTTAAACTATAATTTAGAAGACTCTATTTTTTGGTCTCATTTTTCCAAATATTGGCAAATTTTTCTCTCATCAAGATTTAGAGGGGCCAGCAGGGTGACGTAGTGGTTAAGGCACTGGACTCCCATTGGTCAACTGAAGTTTGAGTCCCAAACTTAGCAGCTTGAAACTCACGCCGGGCATGTGTGCATGGGTGCCCAAAATCCTGAGAGGAGAGTAATGGAGAAGGGATTGCAGCATTGTCACCTCTCCTCTGGGGCATGATACCTTACTTTCTCATGCTCTGTCTCTGTGTCTCTAGCAAGCGCACACACCCTACAGCAAAAATCTCTCTTAAAAAAGAGATTTAGAAACACCACTTAAGGACATACATAGATTACTCTCTGAATAATTAATTATGATGAATAATTTTCTGCCTTTGGGTAGAGAACAGCTACTTTTCCATATAGTCAGAGGCAAAGAATTTGGGCAGTGACTGAGAAAAACTCTGCCAAGAGTAACTGACTATGCAAATTACATAGCCCAATAGATCAATCTGTATTCAAGACTAACATTGTGTCTTAAAATATGACAATCCACCAGCATTTCAAAATTTAACTAAACTCAACTTTGAACAATGATCAACTTCTCATGCAAAATGAAATCAGGCAAATAATAAAAATGATCTTGCATTTTCTTCACTTGCCTAACTATGTAATTTTTGAAAAGAAAAAGAAATCTTAATAGTTTTATACACATTGAACTATTGAAAACTGTAAGTAATACTAAAATTAAAAAAACTCATATATTTTTAATATTTTCCTTATAACTTTTTTTTAAAAGCCATGAATGTACCATAAACCTTCCAAATTGAGTCCAATGTCATTTGACATTGCATATTTTACATAAGTCATTGAGTATCCACGAAGAATATTTTCACTTTCTAAAAATCACAAACTATGACATTGCCAAGTCAGTCTTTTTAAATCTCAGCACTCGTGGGAAACCCACGTCTCTCATTTTCTAACAACACGAATTCTTTCTGTGCTGATGATGACAGAAGGGCGATTCTTGGAACACTCTAGCTCCATCCACAGTGCAACAGCCTATTTATCTGGCTTTGTCAGGAAACCGTGTTCCACATAAATGACTTTCTCAGACAAATGAAACATATCGCATTCAGTGCCCTTTTTTAACAATTTAATACATCCCTGAAATATTTTTTCATTTTATATAATTGTCTTTCTCTTTCAACAGAAGATACTGAATTTTGTACTGAAACTTTTCTTGCAAATTCCCTTAAGTAAACTCAATATGATACCAACACATTGCTGTGGGCTACATTTCTTTGTCATTTCCCTGCTTCCTTTTACACTGCATTTTGAGAGAGTATCACACTTGCTAACATTAGGTCAGCTCTAGGAAAAAATATCACCATCTTACAATTAAAAAACTGAAGTCCTAGGGTCAATTGGTAGCATGAGGGTTCAGGCTCTGTACTTCCATAGGGCCAACTTCAGTTCTAGTCCTGGAACTGCTGGCTTCAAACTCACACCAGGCATGTGTGCATGTGTGTCCAATATCCTGACAGGAGGATGGAAGAGAAGAGATTGTGGCATGGCCATCCCCCCGGAGAGTGATTTCTCACTTTCTCTCTCTTTCTCTCTCTGTATCTCCAATGAGTACATGTACCCTATAGAAAAAAAATCTATTTAAAAAAATTGAATTTTTGGTAGTAATTTCCCTAGGTCAGTGGCCAGTGTATGGCAAAGACTATTTACTTCAAGCACATGCTCCAACCATTGTGTGAAATAAACAAGTATGTGTTTAAGTAATTTTATGTAAAGGTTTTAAATAAATATCACTAAGGCCGAATTAAGAGTCTACTAGGTTTAGGTACTTTTACATGAAATAGACTTAGGATACGAGGAACTTACAACCTGACAAATCTACAAATAAATGAGTCGTTAGTTTGCAGTGCATGTACATTGTCTGTCTTGATAAGTCCACCATCAGAGAAAAAAAAAAAAAAACTCACTTTGTTTTCTAACCTGGATTATCATGGTCTACATCACAAATTCCAGAAAAGCAAGTGCTCTGGCCAGCTCCTTCCCAGGATGGTAGCTGAACACAGTTTATTATAAATTCACTAATGCTTCACTTGTTTTTTGTTCATGTTGCTTTTAGTATAAATGCACAGTAAACAAACAAAGTCGGGAAGCATTTAAATAAACAGGAAATCTGTGTTACAATGACAGTCTTCGCCATTTCAACAATTGTAACACAAAGAGCCAGATTTGGAGATTGTCCTGGGCTTGAACTTCTGCCCATATCCAGGACAGACGAACTGGCTATTTATTATGTAAGGCACTGACTTTCAAGTGCCTTGTGGCCCAGCTCTAAGATAAATGAAAGGAAACTGACATACTTCATCATCTGAGAATGTCTCTCTAATCACAAGAAAACTGGAAGAAGTATTTTTTAAAGCAAGATCATGGTTAACAGAATTTTTTTTAATGTGCTTATAGGGCACATGCGCTCACTGCAGAGACACAGAGAGAGAGAGAGAAAGAGAGAAAGCTGCCCACAGGGGAAGGCCACACCACAACCCCTTCTCCATTCTCCTCGAGATTTTGGTCATGCATGCACAAGCACCTGGCATGATTTTCAAGCTGCCAGTTTCAGGACTCAACCATGAAGTCATCCACGTGGGAGCCAGCCTCCTTTACCACCCCACCACAAGCTGGCTCCACAAGTGGCCTGATTTTAATTCTATAGTCCCAGTTGACAAGATAGTTAGGCGTAGTGCTGTGTGGTAGTAAGGTTAGAAAAGCTAAAGGCATCTATACTTTGTAATGTTATTGGGAATAACTATAAGCTAAATGAGATCAAATTTATGATCTCATTCAATTTTCTCAACAACCCAAGAAGGTAGGTACTTTTATTAGCCCTATTTTACAGGTCAGGAAACTGAGACTTAAAGAGGTTAAGTAAAGTACAGAATGTCAATAAATAAGAAGCAGCAGGTCCACTCAGTGGTATGCACTGCTGAGACACTGCACTCTGCAGGCTGGGACCACATGGGAGGACCAGGTCCTAGGTCCAGTCCAACCAAAAGCCAGATGGGGCAGTACATGCCTATAGTCCAAGCTATTCAGGAGGCAGAGCCAGGACTATGACAGACAGATGGATATCTATCATCTATTTATCTATTCACACACACACAGAGTATGTAGGTGTGTGTGTGTGTGTGTGAATATGTGTGTATGTGTATATAATGTTTATATGTATAGTGTATTGTATATATGTATGTAGTATAATATATACATAGTACATACACCTATAATAACATTTACTGCATGTATAGGAAACTCATGCCCTTAATAATAAATTGACTCCAAATTTCCAAATGACAGCAATCATTAAATAAAAAATATTTAAAATACAGATAGCTCCAAAAGTCGTGAAAAATATCATTTCAAATAGAACTTAAATATTTATCATGTAACTCTCATAAAAAAAACAAATAACAGGCTTTTTAGCAAAAGGATTTTGAAGAAATTCTTAAATGTATGTCAATTGTGAAATAAAGAAAAAACGAAGTATGTTTAAAAAAAAAAAAAAAAAAACAGGACATGAAGTTACTTAAAATATTTCTCCATAAAGAATTGCACAAGTAGCAATTAACTTTTCAGCACAGAGAAAATTACCAAAACCAAAGCTTTGAACATCTGTTTTGGAAAGTGTGTCACTTATTTCATATTCTCTGCCTCTGAAATTATAACACTTACCTCTCTTTGAAAAAAATTCCAAGCGTGAGTAAGCCACCGGTATCTAGGTAAACCATAATTTGTCATTCTGGCTTTCAAAGTGACCATATCTGACCACTGTACTGGAACCTGGAGACAAAAAAGCAAAACAACACAAGGATGTACACATATTCTCAAAACAATTACACACACACATACTCGCACAGAGTTGGAATGTATTACTTATGACAAACTCTATGTTAACAAACTCTTCTTTTAGATCGTTCTTTTATCTTTTCTTTTTTTAGATCGTTCTTTTCTTTGATCTTTTCTTTTTTTAGATCGTTCTTTTCTTTTCTCTTTTTCAGTTTTCTTTTAATTTACTAGAGTGCATAGGTGTTAACTGGAGCGAGACAGGGAAAGCAAGAAAGTACTCCCCATGGGGAATAGTCACACACAATCCCTTCTCCTCAATTTCTCCCTCCTTTCAGGATTTTGGGCATGCACAAACACCTGGTGTGTTTCCCAAGTCACAGGCCCAGAACTTGAACTGTGTGGTTGGCTATGTGGGATCCAACTGCCTTATCCACCAGACCATGGAGCCAGCCCAATAAATCTCATTTAAATTTATATTTGCTTGTCACCTAAGTTAAGCTGAGGGTTACAAAATACTTACTGGACAATCTCTATATGTTAATTTTAGTACTAAATGAGAAGGTATTTTGTAGTAAGTAAAATCATGAGAAATCACTTTATTGCTAATAGCAAGCTGAAGAAAACCACAAAATATTCATTAGTCAGGTACACTGGAAGAGTTCAAAACAAATGGTATCTGTGAAGAAATGCTGTTTGGTTTGATCTGTAATACTATGAAGTTGTGGTTCTCGGAAATAACTGCTGACAATGGTATTAAAATGAGAGACAAATTAAGAAGGATTCAAGAAAGACTGAAGAATTAAGAATTCAAGTCGAGCTTCACTCTGGGATAATTTTGTAAACAACCTTCCAAATATTAGATTTTTGGAAGCATGGCAGAATTTTCACAAGAACAGTTCTCATAATAAAGCATTGTTTTGTGCTTCTGCTCTCGAATCACCTTGTGCTATGTGTGTTACAGAATGTTTAATCATGACAGAGCTTTAGGTATGCAACACAACATTTGGCCAGAAATCTCGTGAGCAAATCAAGCATTGTTTTATTTGCTGGAAGCCAGCCAAACAATCAATGAATGACATAATAACATAATGGTCAAGAACCAAAAAAAAAAAAAAAAAAGAAGAAGAAGAAAAGAAAAGGAGAGATGAATAAATAAGCCTATAGAACTTGACATCAGGATAATTCTGAGCTCTTACTTCTTCTTAATGTTCTAGAAAGCATGTGTGCTCGCCAGAAAGAGACATGGAGAAAGAGAAAAGGAAAGGGAAATGAGAAAACAACACCTACACAAATGGGAGAGGGTAATGCCGAAATCCCTTCATCTCTCTTCCCTTTGGGGATCTTTGGGAACACATGCACTCATGCACTCAGTGTATTTTTCAAACCACTGGGCCCAGGACTCAAACCACACAGTCAGCCGTGGGAGAGTCAGCTACCTTAACCATCAAACCACTGGCTGATCCAAAGGAATTTTTTTCTTTTTTTAATTTAACCAGAGGGCATGTGTGCTTGGAGAGAGACAGAAAGAGAGAGAAAGAGAAAGAAACCACCCTCCATAGAGGATGGTCATGGTACAACCTCTTCTCTTTCTTTTCTCTCTCCTTTGGGATTTTTTTGGGTATGCCCACACATATGCCTAGTGTGTTTCTCAGGCTGCCAGGTCCAGGACTTGAACTGTGCTATCAGCCATGTAGGATCCTTAACCACCAGGACAAGAACTGGCAAAATCTTAATTTATAAAGAAATATTATTGAGGGCCATCATGCTGTGTGATGGTTAAAGCACTGGTCTCCCACACAGCTGACTGTGGTTGGAGTCCCATACCTGACAGATTGAAATCATACCCAGCACGTACGCGTGCGTGCCCAAAATCCCAAGAGGAAAAAAGAGGAGAAGAGTTTGCAGCATGGCCATCCCCCTGGGAGATGATTTCTCACTTTCCCTCTCACTGTTTGTCTCGCTCTGGTAAGCACATCCTCCAGTGGAAAAAACCTAAAAACAAAAAGTATTACACATTTCGATGTGTGTAGTTAGACTATACAAAATATATAAGCCAAAAATGTACGACTAATACATAGGTTTTTTGCAAAAATCATGATTCATTATGAATGCAAAGGAAAAATAACCACACATCTAATATATCACAACTTCTAAAAACAAAACTACAGAGACTTAAAATATAAACAGATCAAACAATACAAAAATTATCGTCCAGTAAGAAAAATTACAGCCAGCATCAGCCATTCGTTGAAGAACTAAAATTATTAAAGAAAATATAAATTTCTTACAAAGCAAATTATGAATATGCTAATATATAAAATAATATGAAGCAGTATAATGTTACATTAAGATGTAATCTCTCTAGTCAATAATGTCTAATCTCTCTAGTCAATAATCTCTAATCCTTTACAGAATGAATTTGACTAATGACTTTAAAAAGTGGTAGCCGAATTTCTGTCATATAATGTGAAATGACATATAATTTCATTAAATTCAAATTATGATGTATACAATACATTTTTTTTTCAAGAGACCTTTACTTTTTTTTTTGTCAGTTGAATAGTTCCTCCCTTTGCACTCTTTGTAGTGTTTAGAATGGCATTATAAGGTTTAAGTCCAAATAAAGAATCATGATGTGGAATGAAAAAAAAAAAGATATTTTTTTAATTAAAAAAATAGTATTATTTTCAGAAGTAATTTAAAAATTCTTGATCAGAGAAATTTTCTTCTCCTTCATTAATTTTCTTTTTGCTTATAGCACTTAGAAATGTACAATATAAAAGAAAATTTGAACACTTGGACACAAAGTTTTATTCCCCAAATAATGCTCTGACTGGATATATTGTGTATACATAGGGCTTCAACAAAGTTCAGAGAACTCACCGAAGGTCAAACTACTCACCATATACTACTGTTTCATATCATTTGAGCCATAAAATAAATGTAGGTCAGATAAATTATCTAGAAATTCATCAAGTGAAACCGTGAATATTATTGACGGATTTTTATCTACAGAATGAACAATGAACAGGAGGCAAACATGTATAAACTGAAGCAGTAATGGGGAAAGACTGTCTGATGTCACTTCTTTTGGCATAGTGACTATAACAATCTTTTTTTAAAACTTTTACCTTCCAAAATAAATAGACTTTTTTCCATAATTGTGACCACAATCAATGTGAGACCAAACGTGGCAAGCAAACAGAGGAGACCATTGAGGTGCTGGGACAGAATACTGGGCTCCGGCCATAAAATAACACACACGGATTGGTTCCTTGCACAGAACAGCTAAAAAGCACATAACCCATTCTATGAAAAGGCTGGGTTCTGCAAAATTTGGCAGATAATAAACTTTAATGGCACTTTTCATTCACACTGCTATTAGAGTAAAAGCAATAAAAATTCTAACAAACTTTTTTTTTCCTTAAAAAAAAAAAAGACCTGCTTTCCACATTGCACCTTTTAAACAGTCCTTGCTCTCTCCTGGTGATGTAATGGGGAAGATTTACACAAGCAAAACAGTGCTGTGTGCTGTCAGCTGAAACGATAATGTGCACACATTTAGAACGGCGGTACTCCGAAGCTGTGTGCAGACCGCCTCTTAAGAGAAGAGAAGAAAGTCTCTAAGCAAGCATAAAGTCCTCTTCATTTCCTTGTGTTTCTTAAAATTATATTCAAATCAAAACATTTTATTTTGAACACCTTAAATTAATTCATTTTGAACTGGCTACAATTTAGGAGATTGCCAAATGTCAGTATGACATATACACTATACATCCATTTTAAAATCCATGCGAAACTCATTTCTAAAATCCTTTTAATTACCCAGCAAAACACAATCAAGAGCTAAGGTAAGGGGATCAAGAATTAATTATCAGATTCACTCTCTACTTGAATGTCAAGGAGATATATTATTTTAACAGAGGAAAAAAAAATTAAGGCAGATGATCTATTTAAAATAAAACACAGAAACTGAGTCCCAGGAAACTACTGGGTTGTCAGAAAAGTCATGACATATTTTTCTATGAAAAAAATACATCATGCCTTTTCCGACAACCCAGTATTTTTCACTTCCCTAAATACACAAAGTTTCTGGGGAGTGAAGTGAAGATAGGATTCTCATAGACAGCAAAAGAATTCGTATTTTAATGGGAGATTTCATTTTAAAGAAAATTCTTCACTTTACATTAAACTAGTGTAGTTGGAACCTACCCTGACTTTTCAACGTTCCATAAATTCTCTGTTCTTACTGAGAGTCACCACACCTGGGCAGCATGATGGTCGTTAAATTCTCTGTTCTTACTGAGAGTCACCACATGTGGGCAGCATTGGGGCTCAGACATGTGATAGTGCCCAAGCATCATTTGCATGTAAATTGGCACATGCTCAGTATCCACTGGTCTGTAATTACCACTTAGTATTCAAAACAGCCTCACCCAACAGTAGCAGGGTCAGCAGAGAACTTTTTAACAACTGCATCAGTACCAGAAACAACTTTGATTTGATTTCCAACTGCCAAATGTGTCTCTTCTCTCTAAAATACAAAACAATTTCTCTCCTCTTAAGAGTTCTTAGAATTTTAAAATGTTTAAGACTCACAGGGAGCAGAGGGTGGGTGGAGGAGACTTGTCCCCAATATGAATGCCCAGTCCTGGCCCTTTTTCCCTCTATTCTGATTTAGCAGAGCTGGGCTGGAGTCTGAGATGCACATTTTTGAAGAATCACCCTCCATGACTCTTATTGCCATTGGTCCAAGGATTTACAGGTTGAACAACACCATTTCACTAAAGCAGAATTACTATGGAACACTTACAGTGGAAAAATCTGGCCTGCCTTCATGAAAACAGCCAATGTTCACAGACATGCAGAAACCCTCCACGTCACTGGTAAGAAACGCACTAATTTTCTCCATTGAAGTGAGAAAACATGAAATAAGTAGTAATGCCCCATGCATGCACAGGCAAGGTGCAACTGGTGAACCAAACAGGACTGTAAAATCTAAAGATGGAGAAACTGTTACCCTCATTTATTCTAACAGATCTATAAAAGTTGTTCCAGCAGTTTCAATTGCTGAAATAAAAGAGGGAAAAAAAAATGCTGAAGAGCCGTTTTCAAGTAGCCAAGTCTCAAACTGTGAGAGTTTCTAGTGAGCACACAGCAACTCTTCAAATACACTCCTTACAGAGGAAGACAGTTCGGCTTGCTGCAAACTGGAGAGGCAGGCTTCCCAGTCATCAGAGTCCTGCTGCAGTCAGCATTTTGAAGGTTTTATGTGGTTTTCAAGCATTCTCAAACACATCATGTCACAAATGTGAATCTTTCCTATTATTACAATAACTCAAAAGTTGGCAAAATTATTTTAGAACATACACTATTTTCACTCTATTATGTCCATATTCAAGCAACCTGAGGAATTAAATGCATGCATCATAATATACAAAATAAAATATGATAAATCATGTTTTAGAAATGTGCTTTTAGACACAGAAAAAAATGTTATTTTTCAGAAAAAAATGGACTATTTGTTGTCATCATATACCATAAACATTCGAATGAATAATCATGTCTCTAAATTACTCCAAATTATCTGATTTAAAAGGCTGAACTAGATATTCCTTGAGATTGTGATTCTATACCATTTTTCACTTACCATCAGTTCTTGTTCATATGTCCAAACACCACAAGCCAGTTCGACACAGAAAATGACAAGTAAACTTCCAAAGTACTGTAGAAAAGCAGGAAAGTATGCTGTGAGCACAGAATCCAAATGCAATATGGTCACCGGAGGCAAGCTAAATATCACTTAGTGTTACATTTATTTAATGGGCACGAAAACAGAAGTTTTCACGAAACCCCCTCAGCAGCAGATGGAAAAAATTTCAGTAAATTTATAAATATCTGCAAATAATATTCAATACTCAGTTAAGTAACACATTATTTATTAGTCATCTCCTTGAACAAATCTATCATTGCCAATGCTTTCATCAGGCTAAATAATAATTTACATATTATAGTTCGATAGACTATAACCAAGTTTTCCAGGAAACTGGACCTAATTTCTTTCAAAGTGCATGAAGTGAAGTCAAGTTCAATGCTTTGCCTATGAGCAGATTTTAACTCATTCCTCTAGGTAACAGGGCCTCCTGTGCATTCTTAGGAAAGCATAGTATGGAACAAGGTCCTAACTACTAGTGACACTTCAAAATATATAGTGAGTTCTGATGATGGGGAAGGCATTTGGGATACATGAGAAAATATCAGAAATTCTCAGAAGGCACGTACAAACAAATAAATAACATTAAGTTGAGCACACTGTCAAAAACAGAAATGAAGATAAAAATTCAAGATTCCTACGAAATAGGTAGAGAAATATTCAGGGTTCAAGAAGGTGAAGAGGACTGAACCAAAAAAGGAAAGAGAATTCCAGGCAAATAAAAAACATGAATGGGCCAACTTGGCGGCCTAGTGTAAGGAAGCCAGATATCACATGCAGATCAAGTCCCCGAGCTGGTGGCTTAAAAAACATGCTGAGTGTGTGTACATGCGAGTGCCCAAAATCCCAGGAGGGAGAGATGGATAAAGATTTCAGCATAACCATTCCCCAACAGGGGTGCTTTCTGCTCTCCTTCTCTCTTGAGCATGCAAGAAAATGAAAACAAGAAAAAAGAAAAGAAAATGAAAATGTGAACAAGAATGCAAAGCAACTGGCAAGTAAAACACAGGGTCAGGGAACAAAGAACAGATCTATCTAGCTGGAGTGAGGTGGTCAGAAAATAGAATGAAAGGAGATAAAATTTGAAGTGTAGAATTGATGCCAGATTATGGTGAACTTTAAATGATATACTAATGGATTTTACAAGTATCATGTAGACAATAAGGTGGTATCTTTCGAAGTTTCTGAGTAGGAGATAGATATGACAAACAGCGTAAATAATGGTGAGGCTCAAAATGATTTGGAAGGAAAGACTAAGAGGAAAGGTTGAAGATTCCTTACGCATGGGAGCCAGCAGTTAGCATAATGGCTATGTCGCTGGATTCCCACGTAGTGGACCTAAGTTCGCGTCCCGGGCCCAGTGGCTTAGAACTCACGCCGGGCGCATGTGCGTGCGTGCCCAAGATCCCGAGAGGAGAATGGAGGAGAAGGGATTGCGGCGTGACCATCCCCTCTGGTGGGGGGGGGGGTGATTTCTCGCTTTCTGTATCTCTGTCTCTGTCTGTCTGGCGAGCGCACGCGCCCTATAGCGAAAACCTCTCAAAAAAAAAAAAAAAAAAAAAAAAGAAAGAAAGAAAGATTCCTTACGCAGCAGCTAAGAACAGATGGTAGACAAGAAGCTGAACTTGGATGGTGGCCTTGCAAAGAGGTGGGAAAGGATACCTTCCAGAGTTTTAACAAAAGAGAAATCGACAAGGCCTTAGACTGACTAGATTTAGAAACTTAAAGGAAAACGTGTATTCCACTAAAGTAGGGAAATTAGTCAGGGTAACTAGTTCTGTGGGGAACATAAAATATTTCATTTTATTTGATCAATGTAGAAATGTTTATTCAACTGATAGAATGTAGATCCGAGCTAAGTTGCCCAACGGAAGAACTGGAAATTATTGTTATGATTAGAAATAAAAATAACTTTTGGATAGTGCTCTAGTTATCACATACTTTCACAATTCATTTGCTCAAGAACTCTGTGAAATGGGTAAGATTAGCCGGTTATACAAATAAGAAACTAACATGAAAAGTAGGTAATAGGAGTTGGTCAAGATAAATGCATAGTAAGTTTTGGAGGCTGGATCATTGTGGCATTGTTCTTTGGCTTACACTTTGCCAACTCCCCAGTTGTGGAGATAACATCACAGTGGCAAGCAGTATGTGAGAGAATAGCTCCCAAAGTTATCTTCACTGATTCTACTAAGAATAAAATATTGCATTCATGAGTATTCCACTCTATTTCCAGTAGTGGGTCAGGACAAAGGTACGTGGTAGTAATGTTTATTGGTCATCTCCTTTCAGGAGAATAACAGCTCCATTAATAGCAAGTAGTTTGCTGTGTTTGTCATCTCATAATAGCTGTGCAATAAACACCTGTTACATAGAAGATTGAAACAAAGCAGAGCAATGGCAGCCAGTGACTGGGAGTTACCTTGCACTTAAACTTGGATGACCAGGAGAGACCTCTTTATAAAGGTGATCTTTAACATAAGCTCACTAATGACAAGAGGAGGCAACACTATTAAGATCTGAGAAAAAGTGAGGTCAGCAGGTGGCATGGTGATTAAGGCACTGGACTCTCACATAGCCAACCATGGTTCAAGTCCTGGACCTGGTCGTTTGATTTCTCACTTTTTCTCTCTCTTTCTCTCTGGTGAGGGCACATGCCCTATAGCAAGTTTAAAAATAATAATAATAATAAAATTAAATAAATAATTCTTTAAAAACAAGATTTGAGAAAAAGTAATTCAGAGAAAGCAAACATCAAGTACAATGCCATCTTACAGGGTGAACTTGTTAGTTAAAAACTCGGGACCAGCAGTTAGCATAATGGCTATGTAGCTGAACTCCCATGTAGCTGATCGTGGTTCAAGTCCCGGAACCAGTGGCTTAAACTCATGCTGGGCACGTGTGCATGCATGCCCAAGATACCGAGAGGAGAATGGAGGAGA